CTCCAATCTCCGGCAACGCCAAGAGCCCAAAGCAAGAAACCCTAGATCTCAAATTGTAATTCAAATTCCCCATTAGGAATCAATTCCCCCCCAATCCCCTAAATAAACACAAAGGACAATAATAAACTTCCTAAAACAGCCCCCAACATTCAAATTTTTCCCTCCTAAGATCACCCAAGCCAACGTGGCCCTCCTCTAAATCTCGCTTTCCCTCTGTTTTTTCCTCCTGGAGTAAGCGGCGTAACAAAATGCTTAGGATATGAAAAAATTTCTTGGCTTACTAAACTTTTTAATATCATTTTGAAGACTAAAAAGATGTCATATGAATGGAGTAAGTTGATTTCGATTTTTAATAATAAATGTGATGCACAAGTGTGTGAATTATAGATGTATTAAGTTTATATGTTATACATTAAAACTATGAGAGAGAGGATAATTGAGCTTATGTTACGACACCATACTAATGTTTCTCAAAATCAATTTGGATTCATGTAGGGTATATGAAAGCTATATATCTATAATGCACCGACATTTTTCCTTAATGAGGTGTGTAGTGTCTGAAGCGTATCGAACACGACATGCATCTGACACGCCTCTAATACACATCAAACACGTCAAAGACGTGTTTGATTACGAAATATTAAAAGTAAATTAGACACGTATGTCCGACACGCGTGTCATTATATGAAATTTTTTTAATTTAATTTTCTATCTTCAAATTTTTATTTATTAAAAATAAAATCTAAATTTTTTATTTCTTCTCAACAACCTCAAATTAGATGCCCGTACTCAATACCTAATTTCCCAAACTTACCATTTTCATTTCTCTCTGGTAGATCATAGCTAGGGTTACACAACAATGCCCGATGTCATCACAACAATGACATCCGATGTCATCACAACATCAATTTTTCAAAATCATATGAAAATCAATATTTGATACCTGCAATTACTTTCCCCACAATCACACATCTGTATCATCTTGACATCTCATCTTTGTTTAACATCATCTCAATATAGACAACCGACTTTGTCTTGACATCGATGCTCGATGCCCGAGTTTTGACAGCATTGTCATCTCCCCTCTTCATGCTTGAAACACGGCATCAACGTTCGACTCTTGATATTTTATATTAATCATTTTAAGTATAAATCATAATTAAATAATTTATTATTTTTCAATTATTCATAATATTATGCTTACTCAATTTTTATACACTTTTTTAAGATATAAATATTATAATACTGAATCTAACATATATTCGTGTCATATATTTTTAATAATTGGCGTGTTTCGTGTCCGTGTCGTATCATGTTCGTATATGTGCATCATAGTTATACATTTATTGAGAGATTTGATGGATAAATAAGATAAAGTAAGGAGGATTTGAATATGATATCTATTGATTTAGAGAAAACATACATTAAAGTTTCAATAGAAGTGCTCTGGAGAGTTCTACAAAAGAAAGGAGTTAATAATTATTTTATTCAAGTCATTAAGGATATATATAGATGAGTTATTCCTTGTGTTCAAACAAAGGTGGTTTGACCAAGTATTTTCATATTTCAGTTGGATTACATGAAGGTTCAGCTTTAAGTCAATATCTTTTTTCTTTAGTCATGGATGTTCTTACTGGACATTTACAAGAGGATATATCATGATGTATGCTTTTTGCTGATGATATTTTATTTGTTGAAAACTACAAAAGGAGTTGAAGGAAAACTTAAATTATGGAGGTCAAACTTAAAGTTTAAAGATCTTTGTTTGAGTATATCTAAAACCGAATACATACAGTGTAATTTTAGTTATATTATTTCTAATGGAGGGATTGTGACTCTTGGCAACTAGTTATTAAAAGTACATGTTTTAGATATCTAAGATCTATTATTCAAAACGATGATGAAATAGATGAGGATATTATTAATAGAACTCGAGTTGGATGGTTGAAGTGGAGGAATGCTTTAGGCTTGTTTTGCGATAGAAAAGTGCCCCTCAAACTTAAGGGAAAATTCTATAAGATGGTGGTGTGACCTATAATGTTTTATAGTGCAAAATGTTGGCCATTAAAAGAGAAGCATAAAATTATGTATTGTAGAGATGAGGATGCTCAGGTGGATGAGTGGCTTTATACTTAGAGATAGAATGTGAAATGAGTATATATGTGAAAAGGCTATAGTAGCTCTAGTGGTAGATAAAATTAAAGGGAGTTGCCTTAGATGGTTTAGTCACATAAAGTGTCAGCTTTTCGATGACTCGGTCAAAAGAGTAGATGTATTAGATCTGGTCTATATATCTGTTCTACGTTAAGAAAGATAGAAGTAAACCCTACAAAGGCTTGGCTAGAAAGTATTAAAAATGACATTTTTTTTAATTAGATTTAAATGAGAATTGGACTCTTAATATGACAAAATAGAGAAAAATGATTTATGTGGTCAACTTCACATAGTGAGATAAAGGTCTAGTGTTATTTTTGTTGTATTATTTTGTGAAAACCCCATCAATCTATGTGGTTATGGATATAGACTTGTTTAGCTTTGCCATATAAATTTTGGTGTGTATCTATTTTTTTTATCTCGTTATGATTATTTTGTAGTTCTTCATATTTTCCCATTATTAGCACTTATACATAAATATTAGGCATTTTCCAAATGATTGATATTAATGAAAAGTTTATAAGCAATATGATTGGCAATAAGTTCAAGATTGAGAAGTTTGATGGCTTAAACAATTTTCTTAGGGTTTAGTGAACTAAGATGTGTGTTCTATTTCAACATGAATTTATGAAGGCACTCGTTGTGTGCGCTATTGTGATTGAGATTATTAATGAATATAATAAGACAGATGAATGAAAAGGCTCCCTTGGCGATCAATTCTGTTTGGCAGTCAACGTCTTGATGGAGGCTCTAGGGAACACAATCACTGAAGGTTTGTGGCTAAAGTTATATTCTTTATACATGCCTAAAGTTTTTCTGATAGATTTTGTCAAAAATAGTGATTTTACAATTTTGCTTGCATGAAAGTACATCCATTAGTGAAGGTGATTGGCACTTCCAAAGAAGTCAAGCTTGAAGTTGAGGCAGAATGCACCTCTCCAAACCAGAGTTATTTGAGTATGACCTATCTTAATGTTGGCCCTAATTTCTCCAAGGATCACTAGGACACTCCTACATTGGAAGAGGACTTTAAGTTTGATTTTGCGACTTTTAGCTTGGGCTCTCCCATTTCTCTGGGTCGTACATCAATTGGAATATGTCTCGTCTTACATGGTAGAAACTACAATTCTATTGCTATTGTTAATGCCCCGATGATAGGCCTTCTCTAATGATTTATCATGGTTGTTGTTTCCAGTGCGTGACCTGCTCCATTGACCATAGTGTAGTCGTCAAGAGTCCTCTGCAAACCCACAATGATACCGATTAAAGAAGAAAGCTAAGGTCCAACAATTGTACTTTGCATTTATATGGGAGTTGGTCAGCTTAAGTAACTCAGATAACGTATCTGATTGTTGCAAGCCGAAGGATATAGGCTAAGGGATCCTCCCAGCTGCTTTATAAGAGTATTGCTTGGGTGACAATATGCTCTAGATCTTGCTTGTCCAATATCCCAAACTAGATTTAAGTTACAAAATGCCAGCATGACTCAGTAGGCTCTTGCTTGATAGTCAAAAGAGACGGGGATATTTTGAGTTGCTTTTATATGTTAATAAACTGGGTGATGAGTTATATGCTCCTATGGGAGATATTTGTGAAAACTACCGCAATGGTGAAGGTGGCGAGGAATAGGTGACACTTCACAGCGTCATTGACAATTAGAAAGGAACTTATTAACTTGAAATGAGCGACACAATCAATAGGGCTCGAATTTACTTTATAGGAATCAAACACGGGCATCTTGAACATTGAGGGAGGTTGGGCCTCCATTGAAAAGGCATTGATCAGCTGTGCTTGATGCATGGTATGACAACGAGAAAAAGGAGCTCCATGGTACTCTCCTATGGGAGATATAGCTCATCATAGGAAGGAATTGGTGCAACATTTATTAGTGTGTGACGAAGATGCCGTGTAGGAGAAGCAGATAAGCCATTTAGGGAGGGTTGCCTACAGGAATTGCTCGAAGGATCCCTAGATCATCCTAGTAAGGCGATCTTTCATATGCTGAAGTTGTTCAAATGTGATGTCGTTGTGGTGGTTAGTTTGCTATGACTTTTCCTAAGGATGCTTCATAATCCCAAAAGAAAAAGTTGTAATAGGTTATCTGAGTTAATTCATAATTTGCAATTTGCTAAGCCTACTTTAAACTCTCATGCTGACTTGATAAACCTGTCAAAGATGAATGCTGCATACAACAACATAAAAAATTTACTAATTCTCTACTTTAATAGAACAGCAAGTACTATATTCATCAGTGATCACTACAAGACTATCAGTCAATCAGTTCTCAATACTTCATGAATCCTACAAGTCCTGTCGCTGGACGCTTTCTTTGTTTTTGCCCAATAACATCTTTATATATTTATAAGTGAGATTTTTCTGATTTATAGCTGCTGCTTATGCTTCTCTACATTTCTTTTAAATTACTCCATAACAAGACCTGATCTTATTCTACTTCGAATATCAGGAACCCACGAACAATTACTCCTGAAGCAATGGCTGTGGAAGCTATGCAGAAAATCGAGTCACCGCCGTCTGCTGTTCAGTTCTTGCCTGTTGTGGATGATCAGAAGGCCGTGATTGGAATCATAACCCTGCATGGACTGGTTTCTGCTGGCCTGTAGAGATTGTTCAATGCATTTTTTCTTTTTTTTTCTTTTTTGCATTGCATTTTTATAATATTCTTTGTTCTTCCAAATTCCAGTGTGGCCATTTGTTATTATGTTCTTCCTTTATTCGAATTTCTGTCGAGAAATTAGTAATTTTAGTCGCTTGTTTATTTTTTATTATAAACGCTCATTTTTTTATATCCAAAATTTTCTATTTTTCATTCAATTTGAGCTGAATTTGAACATAATTCCAATATTAAAAAGGCATTGAAACATTTTTTTTTATTGAACTTGACCCTTAATTGAGCTTTAAATGAGCCAAATAATAATTGAATAAAAAAATTATGTGATGTGCGAATAGTCAAATGTTAACAGCTTTTTAAAATAGATGTAAACATAATTATTCATTAAAAATTCCCTAAACTATAATTATTATTTTTGTTAAATTCAATTATTAATATAAAGAGAAAATATTTATAATGATATAATAATTTGGTTATAAGAGTGTCGATTATGTTTACTTTTTTTGTCTAATATATGAGCATAAAAGAGAATTAAATAAGATATTAAACAAGCATCAAATGAATGTTTTAGAGAATCCTTAACGAGTTAGGAAATTATAAAGGAATATATTTGTGCATATAAACAAATAAGTAGAGTATTATTGAAATGGATTAAATTAGATGTTGAAAAGTATTAATTATATAATTATTTAGTTAACTAAGCACTTATTTGGGATTTTCTTAAATCTTTTTTTCCTTTGTTATTGTTTTTATTTTTTAAAAGTATTTGTTTAGTGTTATATACATATTTTTAATTTTTATTATTAAAGTAAATTTATTAATTTTTGCAGAAATACTCAAAATAATTTTTAGGTGTTGTGAGAGTTTTTAAAAATAACTATTACCAGTGTCCACAATTTGTCGTTGCTAAGGATTGCCTCTATCACCACAAATGTCAACACCCTCACAGAAAATATACCACCGACACTATTTCTGCCAACTAATGACCACCATTATTTCCATCGCCATCATTTCTTATCGATAGCTGCAATTACTTTTCATGGCATTATTAGGTTGCCGCATGGCTCGAGCTTCAAGAGGATCAATTGAGACACACTTTAGCTAGGCTAATGGAAATCCTTGATGGAATATTACTAAATCAGTTTAGATTTTCCTAAGTACCCTTAACTCATGTTATTAAGGATAGGATTAGGTTAAAAAATAAAAAAAAGGATAGGATTAGTTCGAAGGAAAGAATAGGCTCAATTAGAGGGTCCAATTTTGATTTTATAAAATTTAGACTTAAGTTAACCCAATTAAGTCACTTTCAATACACTCGAGTTAATTCGTCAAATTGGGCTAAACTAAGGGGTCAATAGGGTCAATGAGTGTGACTAATCTGCAGGCAACCAATGGATTCTTTAATGCCAATTGAGCCAAATTAATCAATTTTGTTCAATTGAATAAAATGGATTTAATATGAGTTCACCTTGGATCAAGTGGATCAATTGAGCTAATTGTGCTAGATTAAAGATTAATTTGGCTCAATTAGGATAATCTAAATTCACTAAAGTAGTTTGGTTCAATCAATTTGGTAAAATTAAGGCATTTGGCTCAAATGGCCTAAGTAGATCCTTAGGTATCCACCTGCTCTAAGGCTTCGTTTGGGCCGGCTTTTTTTTTGCTTCTTAAAGCAGCTTCCTATACTAGAAAGCTGCTTTAAGAAGCAATAAGAAAGCCGTCCCAAACGAAGCCTAAGTTAGATTAATCATGTTCAACTAGCCTAGCTTCAATTCTATTTATGGTAGGTCTACTTAGGTTTAATTAAAGCTTAATTTAAATCAATTTGATCAATCTTGCCTACGAGAACATAAGGGAGGTGAATTAAACTAAATTTCTAAATCTGGTGCAATGAAAGGTCAATTTGGGTCCAATCATCTATGATTAAACATTTCAAAAGGGTATCAAGAGTTTTTGGGGCCTAATTTAGTCAAAATGATCAAATAGTCTAAAGAGTTCAAATATGTCAACTTGAGTTAAGTGAGCCAATCAACCAAATCAAGGATTGATTGAAGCTAAGTCATCTATGGTTGACTTATTATTAGTCTGAGGTCCTAGGTTCAATCAATTTGAGCAATTTAATGGTTTAGGTTCAATTAGGTCAATAGATCCATTTGGGCTAACTGAAGGACTTAGTTGGCTCACGTAGGTCATATCTAACCTATTGGGATAAATTACTAAAGTTTGTTGAGGTTAATTTTATGAATCATAGGGTTTGAGTCTTCTTGACTTAATTGGGTCTATTTTGGCTATATTATAGCTCAAGGAGTCTTAGCATAATCAAATAGTCAACTTGGATCAATTCATTTATGGCTTGATGAGAGGAACCAAATGGAAGAGGTTTGGCTAAATAAATTAACCAATTGGTTTAAAGTCACATACTAGGTCAAGTTTCTAAGAACTATGAGGGCTAGATTAACTTTTGGACAAATTCATGATCAAAATCAAGAAGTCGCGTTATAATTCACAGTGAACATGAATGTGATTGAATCACTAAAGAAGAAAAATAATTACTTATACCATTGATAAGCTCATTATGCTCAACTAAGGTTAAATGGGAGTTAGGTCTAAACTATAGTTAATATTAGTCAAACTAAGTCAAGAGTATTGCATAAGACTCAAATTTAAAAGATCTATAGTCTCATCCTAAGGTCTTACTAATTAAAAATGGATCCTATGGTCATCAAAGGTTTGGTCATAACTAGCTCAGGTTTTGGAAAGGGTAGGGCTTCTAGCTATGCCAAGCTAAGGTTAAACCTTAAAATGAGTTAAGGATTGAAATTGAATTCAAAGAGAAGGAATTTCTTGGATCATCTCTAAGAAAGGCTAAAGGATCAAGAGAAGGGAATTGGCTTATTCTAAGTGTAGTGATGTAGATGGAGAATAGCCAACTAAATATAGTGAAGCGAATGACACACCAAACACTAAGAATGTGGATGAATTGATGTGAGTTTTTCAACAACTTAAAGATACAAATATTATTTTAGTATTTTAAAAATTAATGGATATTGTTTTTTTTTTCTTAAAAATATGAAAATATGGATTTAAGTTACAACAAATTAAACACATTTAATGACATAAATGAGCAAATTTTTAATTATTTTATAAGAACCTATAATAAGATTATCACAATTTGAAAGTAAACTAAAGATCTATGCAAAGTACATAATTATCATAATTTATTAGTATATCCATTGAATAAGAATAAATAGAAAGAGGTACAATTTGATTTATAGTGGATTGAATTAACTTGACTTGGCTACATCCAGTCTTCTAGTACTCATCTCAAGAATTTCATAACCACTCCTGTGACAATAGTAAGTTGGAGAAACCTCCCTTAAAGAGAAAGGTGTACAAATAAGATTGCTATTGTAGCCCACAAACAAGTCAACTAAAGCAATACAGAGCCTTTTGAGATCTCAAAAATCTCTTAAAACCATATTATAAAAGCTATCAATAAGTTCTAAAAATCATTAAAGGAACAAAGAGAGAGATTAAAAGTGAAACAACCAAGTAGTGCGTTCTCACAATGGGTTCTCTCATTTAGAATTTGCAAACCAAGAGCAATGGATCTCTCTCCCAAAAGTTTGTCTCCTTTTTTTTCTCCAAATATTTTTTTTCCTTTCTCACATTTTAGGGTTAATAAGAAGGTATTCATATAAAATGCTTTGATATTACAATTTAAAACAAACTGAGAAAAATTTAGGAAGATCATGCAATACAATGTACACATCGTATAATACAATTACTACAAATTGATTCATATCATTTAAATATCTTATGGTAGATGTATGATCTAACTCACATCATATGGTATAATCAATTAAGCCTAATGCATATCAACTCATCTATTAATTCTCATATTTTAATTAGATTAAATTAGAAAACCAATCAAGAAGCATGATTTATATCATACACTATGAATAATTTAAATTTTAAAATTAATCTAATCAAGAAAATATTCTATAAAATTTAATTTGAATTTAAATCTGATTCATACAGTATGATAATTTTACATATACTAATTTTAAAAATCCTATAATTAAAATTAATTGATCAAACTAAATTCTTCAAAACATCATATAGTACGATCTATTATGATCAATTTGCATTAATAAAAAATTTAATTTAATTTTTTTATTAATTCCACTCGTGTGTGTTATTTATTTCACTAGCTTTTTTAGCTCAAACATATATACATCTTAAATATTATGAAAATAAAACTCCACAATTTGACTCATGCAATTACTGATTTAAAGGGCCTCTTGCTCTTTCTAAAACTTCAACCTCTTGGATTTTGAGATTGTATTTTCTTCTTTAGCTATCACCTTAATTTGAGTCCCATATTACACTTTTTTTAACTTTTACTTGCAATTTACTTTTACTTCACTCTAGTTGAACTATGAATATATGATTACAAGATGATTTTGGTGTATATATATATATATATATATATACACCAAAATCATCTTGTAATCATATATTCATAGTTCAACTAGAGTGAAGTAAAAGTAAATTGCAAGTAAAAGTTAAAAAAAGTGTAGAAAATAAGAAAAATATCAACCAATATTTATAGAGGTTTGATCAACTTGAACTGTATCCATTCCCTGAAAGTCATCCTCTTTGGATATTGAACTATTCATGTCTCTCATTCAAAAGCCAGCAAAGTGGAGAAGCTATTCTCACTTCACACGTGGAGAATGACCCTTATAAGCTCTTCACTCTCGAAGAATCTTCTCCTCTCACCTCCTTAGCCTAGTGGAGTTACCATCCCTCCTTTTTCCCGCAAGCTTGTAGAAGTTTCCAATCCCTCCTCTCGCCTCCTTTGGCCTGGTAGAGTCGCCGCTTCCTCTTTACACTCCCTTGACCAGCATAGCTGAAGCTTCCTCCTTTGGCTCCCAAGGCAGGTGAAGTTGTCATATCTCCTTTCAC